GGGCTCGCACAACCATTGAGGGTGGGCCGTTCAAGTATCAAGTGAGTATATCAAACTAGTGTTATCTATTTTTTCAATGAGCCAATGAGCAATTTGATTTATGGAATATGGCGTCCTGTAATGAGCACTACTCTCTCTGTGCACTGTTTGGCCCTTTTCCGTCAAGTTTAGAATGCTCTCTGGTTTTTCTTTTCTTTGCTTGGATTAATCTACGTATGCCAAAGCACTTTTCTTTGATCGATTAGTACAGGAATATTATTATTTATGCCTATTGCTGTTTCTTTTTACTACCTGTTACTGGATTAAGAAGGTATGTGGGTAATGGCGTTAGTAGGTTTCCATGGAGGTAGTTCCATTCGAAGAAAAGGATATCATTTCAACGAATCGGCCATCTTACACCAGTTTCTCGTTCAGTTTACTGTGTTGTTTCAGGTAGTTTCTATAGTGTTAGACACTCTAACAGTTTTCCATGACTAATTGATGTGAATGCTGTTTTTATTTCAAGGATATATCCATGAAACTATTTGTGTTAGCAGCTGTCTGCTACGTAAATCTGCTGGCATTCCATCGGTCTATGTCCACGTTTATGTCTTCTTCCTCGGCACTCACCTACCTTGACCTCGGTATTCATTCGTTTACCTCTTATGATCGCTCAACATTCCCGCCAAATGCAAATAATTGTCACAGTATTTATAAACACTCATAATAGTCGTCAAAACACTATGCGATTAAAAGAATTAGGTGGAGCATGTCAAGAAACTCATCCATCACCCGATTTGGTTGCTCGCTTAGGAGTTCCGTTTGGATTTTACGTATTTATTCATATGACCCTATATCACATATGCCGTGGAATCACATCGTGGCGGTTCTCTCGTTCAATTCATTGTTTCGAACCTTTGGTGTTCATAATCCATAAAGGGTGTTCAGATTTGCATTTGGCTTTCGCTAGCACTGAAGATTTCGCCTTTTTAATGAATGTCGTTGAACGCTGGTTGGAGCATATTATTTTATTATTTCTGAGCCTGGCAGTTCTGAATGAGCTTTCCCAACAAAGGGAGTCGCCAGTCTTCATCGATCGGTGGAAGCCTTTCCCAGACAAACCTGGTATCATTCTTCCCGAGGAGAGGTGAAGGGCTTATTTGGCCAGTTCGAGAGTTGAACCCGTGGCCGTGCGTGTATTATTCAACGACGTCCCTAACCACTGCGCTTTGCTTTTAAATTGAAATTTCACTTATGATTTTATAGCGGCATTCAAGGGGTCAATGGAACTGTTAATGTCCAATAGTAATTTAGCCCACCTATTTTTTCCTTTGGTTATGTTTATTAGCAACTTTGCAACCGTATGACAGTTGTAATCGCAATTTTTTTCGTCAGTTTGGCAGTCCTCTACTACCTTTTTGGTCGGTACCAGATAATCACCGAACTGACCTTTACCTGGAATTTACAAAAGTTTGACTTAAAAAAGGATCATATTGGTTTATTATCTATTGTCGAACTGGTTCATTCTTTCTATTCACAAAAGTTATTGTTGTCTTTTATCCATAAATGTCTCTTGATAAGTTCAATTGATCTTCTTTAGAATTTTGAACTATTGAATGCTCCATTCTTTCGGAACTTAGTCAACCCTTGAAATCAACAGTGTTAGGATTGAAATGCAAGTCACGCGTGATATTTTCCATAACTTCCTAGAAAGGATAAAGCTCTCGGCTTTGATCAATCCCTGAAGGATGCGCTATGCATCATATTTCATTAAGCATCGTTTGGAGGTGGTTGAATGCATATCAGGCCTTTACAATGACTCGCGGTGGCCTACCGATGTATCGAGCCAGTGCTGCTATCCTCCCAGACAAGTCTGGTACCAGTTTGCCGACCCCGAAGGGATGGAAGGGTTGGTGGGCCATGGGCGCCGAGACCGATTCCAAGTGTGTGTTGCAGGGCGCCTCCGACCGCTGCTCCACACGCACTCTATTGTATCTTCCTGTATCTTTTTTATGCCACAAGCATTTCATGTTCTGCAAAACTCAGTAACTGCATTGTTTTGTTGTTCAGCAATCGCGAGGTTAATAACTCGATAGACCGACTTTCTATAAACCTCGGCATAGATAGTATCGCGAGGTTGTTACACAGCATACATTCACTTCCATAAAATCATTAACCCTTTTTCTGACAAGAAGGTTATTCGTTTTAAATTCGAGCAATCGTAGTTTACAAAGTTGTCTACGCTACTACTAGTGAAATGTTTTCTATCAACTAAGCTCGCTCATCTCAATGTTAATGAAAACATCATTTTGCATTATTCTTTAAACGGCTCAGTCCAAAAAATAACGCAAACAAGTTGAGAATTTTTGCTCCTTTTTCTATTGTCCACTGTTTTTTGTTAGGACGTAACTCATGGGTATTGGAAAATTCCATTTCAGAACAGTAGGGGAAAGGTTTGGTTAGCTTGAGCAGTCACTCCGCAGCATTGTGAAGTTGTTTGAATGCATGATTTGCTCAAACAACAATTTGCTAAGGTCTGCCACCATGTCAAATCCTCCGAAACAAGTCTGGTAGTAATTTAGCCGCCCCAGGAATATGGTGGGCATTGTTTGCCTTGGACCTAAGATCCAAGGTCAACCGATAACCACGTATATAGGCGCCTCTAAGTAGGGTGCTACATATATCCACCAGTCTGGTGCATAAAAATTGACACAATAGGTGTTGTTGATGTGGTGTTAAGAATTCAATGAAGTGTAGAAATGTTGTGCTGCTCCATTTTAGGGTCTATGCTGGAATCTTCGACATGTCTACAGAAACATAGGGCCATGATGTTTAGGAATATTTGTTTTTCTCATCTTTTGCTTTCCCATTGCTCAGTGCATATCATTTGTTGAATAGTTCTGCTTGCTTTCTTTGTGGAACGTAACATGAGCTTCGAAGCGTTCGCTCCACGACGCCTGAAATTTGATAGAAGAGGCAAACATTTTCTCCGTCTGCTCTACACTTGTAACAGTAACCTAAACGGTGACTTCATTTATCCGGAGCTGCTGGGTTTCGGTCTTCCCAGGTGCAAATGCCTTTTTGCGTCTACATATCAATTGTGTTATATTCTAAACGCACTTTTCTGTAAGTGCAGCAGAGTACGATCTACTTCCGATTTTAAAAGCTCGAACAATCTAGGGATTACGAAAGTAAGTGAACAGAACAATTTCCAATGAACATATTTAGTTGCTAGAAAACGTGGCGCTTCCCCACCTAGAGCGGGTAGAGGGTTAATCTCGAACCAAAAGCGACTTTATGCTGAGACACAGATGGATACAGGGGATGGTCTGTTCCTGTTTCTGCTGCGCCGGTGTTTACGAGGACGTATTCAATCATACATGCGTGGGTGTGTTCCTGTTTATGCGTATTGTATTCTATGAATCAGGTCGGCCAAAAGCCCACAGTCAAGTGACAGAAAGATATTTGGGAGGCGGTTAGGAGACGCCTTCAACAAACATGCTCTCCATTCTACCCTGGGAGAGACTAACAAGCTGTGCATGAGTATATCCACCCCAACGTTCAAAGCTCAGCAAGCCATAAGTGTGTATCAAACGCCAATTATAGTGAAATAAGTGGGCCTCATTCACCTAACCCCGAAACAGAACCCGATGCCGCAGCGCTGCGTGAGAAGACGCTGCTAAATATCGGTACCATTTTAGTCTGCGTAAATCTCGAAGGACTATGCTGATGATTTGTACTTATAACGATTTGAAGATATGTATCACACCTTCGGACGCTGTTGTCCCAAAATTCTACACGCAATCAGACTATCGCTTTCTTAGCGCAAGATTCCATTTCTCGCGGAAAGGTGAGAAAACCTCTAAGTTGAAAGAATGAAACCCCAATACCATCATGAACTGGGATTTATTCAGGCCATTAGTCGGATCTTAGGAAGATGCTGTTATCGATAACAACGGTGGGGAATACGACCGAGTTGTTCAACGTTTTGGGGTTAGCGTAATGAAAGCTGAGAGTTCGAAATTCATCAAGAGGTATCTTTCTCCAGAAACGCTGCAGCAACGCCAGCGCTGAATCGCATGACCCAAAGGCAACCACCAACTCACGTTCGAAATTGCAAAATAATGAAGACATGAGCAGCAGTTATGGTCGAAGCTGCATAGTCAGAGAAAAATGTTGTCAAACCCGCCAAAAATCCTCAAATTACAAGATCAATTTGATTCCTTTCCAGAAAGGGATTGGTGTAAATCATTCTCGATTATTATTCGGGTCTCTTCTATACTCACGTCCTCCTACACTCATACGAAATAAAACAGGATGGATATGTCGTCCCGCCGGCTCTCCCTTACGAAATCCGATATGCTATTTTGTCGTCGAAGAATAGAGCACCTGGTCCAGACGGGAGAAGATTTGAACGACTGAAAAACTTTTCACCAGTCCTTATCGACATACTGACAGCTTTTCACACGTTATCTGTGAGAATGCAGGGTTCTTGTTCAATAGAATCCGAGCAAGATGTTGTTATTGCCCATTAAAGGTGACCTTCAAGAAGTCGGTAACTACCGCCTAATCTACTTGCTGTCTGGCTTCTGTTATGTAAACTCTTCACTCGACTCATCCTAAACAGGATTGACAGAACACTGGACCAAGGACAGCCATGTGACCAATCTGGGTTTTGAAAAGCGTTCAATGCGATAAACAACTTTTGCGTCGAAATGAGTCTTACCGAAGTATCGCAAGAGTATAAGAGGTCGCCTTCATCAACTTTAGCCTTTCGACGTGGTCAAGACGGAAGAAGTCGTGGAAGCTCTGGACAGTCTTGTCCTTCCTTCTTAGTGCTTGGAGTTTCTTCGTGAGCTGTGTAAAAATTTCAGAGCTAAAATACAACTATTCTCAATAACTCAAAATACCAACTTTCTATAAACTTCGGCATAAATAATCGATATATTTATTTATATATCCTTATGCACCGGACTTGTTGTTGATCAACAAGATCAGTTCATAGGAACATATTAATAAATATGTCACCATTCTGTAACGATATTGACATAGACACAAAAAGACTAGCTAAGCAAGGCGACACCGTCACGTTCACCCTCCAGAACATCATACAAACTTTGGAGTGGGACAACATGGTAGCGAAAATCGATGACCGGCAATTGCACCATTTTCGCTTTACTTATGATATCGTTCACGTAACACGAGACATTAGCCAGGTGGAACAATTGCTTGCCGGCTTTGATAACGCTTATGGAAGATTGGTCTTCTCTCGCATCTATCCATCTCGGTTCACAAAATTTTGCAAAAACGACGTTTCTGAAGAATAGATTGGTTTCGTATGCACAATTCACGTTCAACGGTGGGAATATCTCCTGCTCCAGCTACGTCAGTCCAGCTCGGGAAATTAACATTACGAATCACTTAGCTCAAGAGTTGAGCAGAGGGAAGCGAGTAGCTTGGAGAGCTTTCCAGAGCATGGAGGATATAGTGAGGAGAGCAAAGAACACCCGACCTCATGACCATCTTTCTTCTCCACGATTCTTCCTGCCTTAACGTTTGCGTCAAGAAAACCAATGACAAGGTAAGCATAATGGGAATCATTCAGTGTTTTTGGAACGTGCAGTCGAAAGGATGATGCTAGTATTCTGTATCATACAACTGAAGGAGGAGGCCTGAAGCTCCGAGCAACGTCAACGATCAGAGATCAGCGATCACGTTCTACCCGCCAATATGTCGAAAATTAAGTGCGCTAGACACGTAATGTTTTATAACGATAATCGAGGGACAAAGGCCGTTAGCTACTGGATTTATCTGGCACCGTGCATTTCACTCCATTCGAGGTGTCGGGGAGGTAATTGAATGCGTATTTTGTCCGTAGTCCTAGGTTTTCTGCAGCGGCAGAATATACGAATACTGTTCGATTATTCAGTTGTCGCATGTGATAACGCAATAAAGAATAAAGCGGATCTTAGCGCAGACCAATCATTTAAGGGTACGTCATGCGTTGAATTTCATCCATAGTATCGTAGAGGTGAGCGAGTGGATATTATGTCCATACATCCACCTGCATGGCCTCACCAATGTATCAGTCAGTGTTTTTATCCCCCGAGATATGTCTGGTGCCAATTCGTAGACCTTGCGGCGATGCAAATCTCAGGCCTGAGAAAGGCTTTGGCTAGGATTACCTCGAGACTACAGGGGGCCACAATGGCTAAACCAGCAAGTGTGGGGAATGGAACTTGTGCTGGGACTCGCACGTCTATTGAGGACAGGTCATTCAAGTATCCAAGTATCTAGGTAGGGATGAGGGAAATTGGTTTGCTCGTGCCTCAGGATCGTTTGCAAGAACCTGATTTGAATTTCACGACACGTCTAACCATTGCGTTACACACGCTTCTTCTCTCACAATTCTGGTGAAATCTATACTTTTTTCTGTACATTTACTACCAAGAGTTACCAATAAAAAATCTGTTGTGCTGACTGACTGAAAAGGTTTTACATTCAGTTAAGAGTTGTATATTAAAGGTTTGTGCTTTGACAGTAATTTCCTTTTTTCACCTGTTTTTCTCCTACCTTATGTGTTTCTTTCATTCTGTTCTACTCGCCCCTCTCGCTTTGTTGTCCTCTCTCTGTCCTTGTTTCTATCTACCTGATTGTGATCGCAGTATATATTTCATTCACGTTTGGTTTTTCCTAAAATATTGTCGTCATTTATTCTTCTTTTCTTAACGTTTTCTTTCGTTTCACCTGAAAGACAGACTCATAAATTTGTTTATGAGCCGTTTAACGTCATTTTTTTTACAGCCACGATGGCCGCCACTCAAACGACCACAATCGAAACAGTAAGTGTAGTGCGACCTTTAAAGGTTAGTTAATTTTCTAAAAGGATAGCAAGCCAAGCCCTTCCATCCATCCAAGGTCGCCAAATTGGTCCTAGATTTGTATAGGAGGGTAAAAACGCTGGCTCTTTACATATGCAAACCTCTGCAGCTCGTAGGTAAAATATGCATTGAATCACCTCCATAATAACTCGAAAGACCGACTTTCTATAAACCTCGGCATAGATAGTTGATATATTTATTTATGTCATCTTATAAACTGATCTTCTTAAGGTGACGCGAGGTTGGTACAGGTCTTCGTTGTCGTTGTCGTTGTTTTTGATGTTATTGATCGATGGCTGACGTTTCGGCGACTTCGCCTTCCTCAGAGTCGTGATCACCTCTATGATTCTACCAATGGAGTTAAACGTATGAGGATTCCCTAAACGCTGATGCCGGCACTTTATCCTTTATCTTTTTGGTTAGCAGTTTAGATCCATCGCAACAATCACTGGCACCATGGGAAAATTCCAGTTATAAGGCGGCTAAATTCCTTCGATTCAAAATTGTCTACACTACCTATAGCGTAGACCTGGAATCGCTCCGTTAAAACATCATGGAATACCAAGGAAAACCAGTCTCGACCGGCGTTCAATATTCCATTAAAAGAGAGCGCGAAAGCTCGACGAGCTATATCTGAATGCATGTAGAAACTGAAGCCCTTTTATAGTTGGCATTTTCAAGAGAGACGATTTTGAAACGAAGCGGAGAAGTGATCGGATGTGTACAATGTGTGAGCAGTTGCCATCTGGATATTAAAGTATCGAAATTAGAATTTATCGTGGGAAATTAAGACCCAAAGGCAGTGCCTTCATTATGAAACTCTCATAATTCGTTTCTTTTTTCGAAAATACTAGAAGGAATATTCTCTAAGTGTGAAAACTGTTTGGCTGTTTTTTTCCGTCCTTTGGGCAACAGTCGTGTTCTTATTTAAGTGTTTTTGCACCGTAAGCATTGCCGTCATAAACACACGACTTCATAGCCTTGGACTTAATCCTTAAAGTACTCCGAATTTCGACGTTTTCCTTAAGCAAGCTTTGTTTTTTGTCATTTTGGTAGTGCGCTGGTTGCGGTCACCACAAAGGATACGTCTTCATTTTTTTGCTCAAAGCTTTACCGCCTTGCCATTGCTATAGGAGGTTCACGATGTTGAAATTCGAGCGTGGGGTTATTTTCTGACAAGGTCACTCTCATTCTGAGGATTAGAACATCATCTACAAGCCCAGCTAAGGTCATTCACACTTTTACCATTACTCGTTGCTATTGTGGACCAAATATTCACTAAGTAGCCAACGTTTCTACTGTTTTCAAAGATTGGCGATTATCTGTCATTGTGACATGGGAACTCGCTGAACCGTCAGTTTTAGGACTCTGGGAAACAAAAAAAAAACTCACCTAACCTGCAAAAGGCAGTGAATTGCATGGGTTCTGCGTGATGTTTGAAAATGGGCTATTAGTGTGTGATAGTGAAGAAAATGCTCCATAGCTTCCTTTAGCTCCATATTGTTATACTCTAGACGCAGTTTAAACCCATGTGGATAACAATTTCATTGATCTTGAGTTTACTACAGCAAAATCGTCCGTCTATGACGACGCGTTCGCATGAGAGATTCGCCAGATCGCAAAGAAGTCGTTATGAATGTAAATTTTCCTCTTTCCATATTGTTGAAAGCGCATACACTTTCCATTAGCGCGCTATCCTCGTGTTTTAACGGCTCTCTGCACCACTCGGCAATAAATCCTCTTAAGATGACATCTACAAAATGCGTGCTTCTGGAGAATCACTAAAGGTGATTAAAGATATATTTAAGCAAAAAATTACCTGTGGAGGCTTGACGATGTACCAGATCAGCGTTTTTATTCTACCAGAGAAGCCTGTAAGTAATCATTTGCCGACACCGAAAGAAGGAGGGCGTGATAACCCGAGGCGTGCGATCAAGTCTTATTTATGGCTCACTTTTAAACTTTATTTCACAACGAATAATTTGCAATCTTTTATGATCCTTGCATAGATTTATTTCATTGTCTTTAATAGTGTTTATGATTAAAACACAATATGAATAACGCAAGAAACTGCTCGTTTCTGTTTCACATTTTTTGATGCTATCTTTCGATGATGAGGGACGCATGTGGCATAGTGGTCGGAGGCGCCCTGCAACATATGTGTGGAATCGGTCTCCGCCCTCGTCTATGGTCCACCAAGCCTTCTGTCCTTCGGGGTCGGCAAATTGGTACCTGACTTGTCTGCGGGAATAGCAGCACCGGGTCGATACATCGGTAGGCCACTGCGAGTCATTGTAAGGACCAGGTATGCATTCGATCACCTCCAAATGGTGCTTAGTGAAGTCGAATGCATGGCGCATCCCTCAGGGATTGATCAACGCCGAAAGCTTTGTCCTTTATCTTTTGTTTTTCGATGAACATTTTGATGTTCATTTCTTAACAGATATTAAAATCGAATGTGTAGAGCATTAGTGAGAGGTTCTCATCTGTCATTCTGTCTTTCTTGAGTGAGGGGAAATCTTCATTTTTGGTCTACTGTTTCTCCTCCGAGTCTTGCCATCATGTGACCTTACCGGATATTTCGTTTCTTGTTTCTAGAGAACTATGAAATTGAAACCTGTTCCTCATTTTCTCGAAATACTCTGGATGTGCAAGGGATGAAATTGTTGCTAGGCTTTTTTTGTAGAAATTATTGGCGTAGAAAAGCACACGATGAACGAACTGTGTGATTTTTGCTCTAATCTACTCATCAGAAACGTTTTTTAAGCATTTCAAAGCGAAGTAAAAGTTACGGAATGCACCAGAGAACTGCAGGGAAGGCAAGTGTAAGTGCATTTCTTAAGGACTCCCCGCGCTGCACACATGTCGTTGTCCTCCACTTTTCCAGGATTGAGCAATCCTTACCTCCATCTGGTGTTGGCAGCTTGCTACCAAATTATTTGTGAGGATAAAACTGTGTTAAGTTGTTCAGAGCTAGGCAAACATTTTTTGATTAAGGAAAAATGGAATAGAGCTTTACAAATGTAATGTTTTTTTTCGGCTGTATATTTCTAGAATATAGACAATGGTGTTTTGTTCTTACTCTAGTGGATTCAGGTTTTTTTAATCTTCTTTTTTTTTAACTGGAAATGCTTTAACTGGAAAAACATTCCGTATTTACTCAAAATTGTTTCAGACTAGATATTTCCCAAACTTTTTGTTTTAACATCGTTAGTGATTGTGGTCTTTTGTATTTGTCGCTTTACGAGATTCCTTTACTTAATATGACAGTTGCTGAGAACAAGAAAATTCCTCTTTATTCTATCGATCTAATCAATGTTTTAAGGTGATTTCCCTAGTTTGTTTCTGCATTGCCATCGCTCTATCAATCGTTTCGTTGTGCTCAACTTGGTGGCTTCGTTCAGGTAACTCAAAGGAATAATCAAGACTAATTAATAGTTGTTTATATTCTTGTTCAGCAAACACGAGGTGTTACTCTATTTCTTTGTTTACGTACACGCTGACGTTTCGGCGGATTTCGTCTTCCTCAAAGCCTGGAAAGGTCAAGTTGACAGCAATCTATTCGACCAAACACCTCCATAACCAAACAGAGAAAATGATAAACCTAGATTTCAATCACACTGAACACAGAGTTGTTTTGTTGCACACTCACTGCTTTCTATGAGTCTTCCTTTGAATATGTCACCTAGAGACCAACGGCTCAGAGTTCACATGGAAGCGTAATGTGCCCCTATCGTTGGAATAACAGGTTTATGTACTGCCCAATATCACGCTCGTTTATGAGGCATTCCTCCCTGTGGTTCATTTTCGTATTCTTAGAATTGGTCCAGAAAGCTTCGAAAGCTTTGTGCGCTTGTGTTTTAGATTTCTGTGCGAGGATCGTAGCCCCTACTTCAAAATCTTCCCCGTTATGTCTTATACTGATTATTTAATACTAACTACTACTAATTAATAGTATTAGATTGCTTGCTTGAGGAAACCACATTGTCATTGAAAGAAATCATTGCAGGTTTGTTTTTTCTTCCGACATAGTATTTTCAAATATTCCTGGTCATTGACACCTTAAAGCGCTATCTATGTGCATTACTGAAGCTGTTGCAATACGCCTCCAAGAAGACTTGACCGTTTTCACTCGTCATTATTTTAAATTGGTAAAAACACATAAGAAGCATCTAATGTGAATACATCTAGCACAAGGTTAGAGATACTCCTCAATATGCATCTAGTCGTTAATTTAGTTGGTGTCAGGCTTGTCTGAACACTTAGTTGTCGATAATGTGTAACTTTTTATCTACTATCTATTATTAAGCAAGGGCCACTATGGTGCCGTGCGCAACGCGTGATCCCAAGGGTAATCGCGGCTCGATCTGGCCTGGGGTACAAGCTTTGCAAATATTTTACCACCATGCTGACTGCCTATTACATTACTTAGGTGTTACATCGCTAGCCACCGGCTAGTGATTGTAAAATATAAATATGTATTCGGTTCCCTGTACGACGCTATAAATGAAGTAGAACAGATGACTCATCTCTAAGGGGAGTTATCATCGCCGATCGCTTTATCCTTTACTCTTTTATATCCAGTATAGTTAATTAGCACATAAATATCTTTGTACAATGTTTTCCATGAACTCATAGGTGTGAAAAGAGTTATTATGAGCTATAAACTAGTAATCAACGAAAGGGAACGCATACGGCTAAAACGAAGACCTTCACTCCCTTCATGTAGGTTATGAAAAGCTAGACAGTTAGAAGTTAAACTCGTTTGAGAAATACGATGAGCAGTTTTCATGTAAAGCCTAGTATTTTTACGGTTTTTGACTAAGCGTCAGCTATGGGAAGCTCATCAACTCTACTAGTGGCTGTTTGCGGAGTATAAGTGAGGCTTACATGCTTACAATTCACACATGGGTGCAAGTTATTCAACGGGTCAGTTATGCTTTTAGTCACCTTTAAGACTCTATGAATGGAGTCGGGGGCATAACGCAACCCTGAGAGGCGCGCCGCCGAAAGTTTTGCCGGTTTATTCATTTGTCAGTCATTTATGGAAGACGACCACGACCTCGAACCGCCTTCTATGTTGTACTCTTCAATCACATAGACTTTTTGACTAGTCGATGTGCAGGACACGAGTCACACACACAGAAGCAAACATCATAGCCAATACGTGGATTTTATTACGACTATGCGAATGATATAAGTCAACAAATACAACGGGTGGCTCCTCTATCACATCTAAATATTATTGTGTAATTTTATTTATTTTATTTCGTGCGGCCATTCTTTCACATCTACTGTGCTGATCCCAACACTTCCCACATTCGATTCGTTCCCTCGCATTCAGCATCCACTAAGGTCTTCCAAGGTTTACATGCGGCTTCATCTGCTTGAGGATTTCGATTTCGTCTTGAATGCCATAGGATACTTGTCCAGTTGGATTCTCCCTGGAGTGCTGAGATAGCCAGGCTAGACCTTTGCCACTTTTATTGAAGAGAGTTGTTTTTTGCTCAAGCAAATTCGATACCAATTTCGCCACTAAAGAACAATGAGAGGCTTGTGGGCCAGGATCGGGATCAAACCAGTTTCGCGCTAATGATTTGCGGCGTCACTGCCATTGTGATATCCGCTCCCATAACTGCGTAATTAAAATCACAAAATCACTTTTGACCCACGTTTAACACCTGCTCCTACGACGAGTGTACAGTTGCGAGTAATCCAATCAAGATCTCCATAGGGAGAAGCTCGGTGCAAACGCCGTGGTGTAAGTTTGATAGGAAAAGAGCTTCCTCCTGTTCATCTGACGCTTTTGCCGAAAAGGTTCCAGTAATATTCAAGGAAAAAATATTCACAGAAGTAACTCCACTATCCAAATGTTCCTGGATTGTCTACGTAACGTTCAACCCAACAGCGCGTACGTGATGAAGTCCTTCGACGTCATCGCTCTCTATACAAACGTGTCGAATGAGTCCGCTATGCAAGCCATCCGCAAGCTCCTTATATAATACAGAAGAGCACTAAACATGTATGGCTTCTCGATTCAGCACTTGACGACACTCTTAAAGGAATGCCTAAATTGCTCAATCCAGATGGTTCGGAAGGTATTACGCTTCATTCATTACTTCTCCTTTCACCCCTCTCACATGAAAAGGGCGTTTGTGAGAAACATGCTTCGAACAGCTACCAGCTTGTGGACAGGAAGGCAGTAGAGAGAGTAGTTCCGGAACTTGATGCGGTAAATAGCTATTTTTAATGGTTACGAAACTGTAGCTCGAGATAGGTGTAGAGGAAACCACAGGTACCCCAACGATAACTCTAGCGACAACAAGGTCTCGTTTATACTGCCCTTCATTTCAAATGAAGTAAGTGCAGCTATAAAACGCTGTTTAAGAAGGGCCGGTCTAGAGAATTCGCTAACGATAATTGAAATACCACCGAGTAATCTAAGACGCGAACAAGTTGGTAACCGCCTATACGACCGTCTATGTGCAACGCAAAATTGCATAATTTGCAACGGGGAGGATTTTGAAGTACGTGTCACGATCCTCGCACGGTAATCCAGAACACAAGCACGCAAAACTCTCGAGGCATTCTGGATTAATTCCAGAAATCCGAAAATGAACCGCAGGAAGGAATGCGTCATTATCACGCGTGATATTAGACAGTATATAAACCTGTTATTCTGATGAGATGGGGACATTACGATTCCACGTGAACTCTGTGCGGTTGGTCTCCACGTGACATATTCACTGGAAGATTCATAGAAAGCGGTAAGTGTGCGAGGAAGCTATTCTGTGTTCAATGTGATTTGAATCTTGGTTTAGCATTTTCTCTTTCTGGTTATGGAGGGGTTTGGCCGGGTAGATTGCAGTCAATTTGGTCTTTCCAGGCTCTGAGGAAGACGAAATCCGCCGAAACGTCAGCTTGTACGTAAATAAAGAAATAAAATAACACCTCGTGTTTGCTGAACAGAAGTAGAAAGAATTATTCACAGAAGTGTAAAAAGGAATGTTTTTAAGGTAAAAACTTCTCTTACACAACGTGTAGTAAATCGAACGTCGACTAAGTAGTACATTCATTTCTTCGTTTAGTAGTCAATAAGGGGGTTTTATTCCAGGATCGTTTCGAACTGGTCTTTTCCTGGAATGCACGGCTAGTAGTGAACCTTCACATGCCGCACCGCTGCGAGAAGCTCCTCTTCCAGGAAAATGTCACGCCCCGGCAAGGGACAGTGGTCAGTGGTTGTTTTCTCAAAATTGTCGTAAACAAATATCATTGCAGTCTACACTGGCTATGTGTTTCTCATAGTTGAGTAATTTTATGATAACATTATGAGCTCACGTGAAATTTCTTCGCTTCTACTCCATGAACTCTTTCCATTCTGAGAAATGGAAAGATGTGAAATGAAGTATGTTGTTCATTTTTTGCGAAATGTTGCAATTACAGAAGGGGTGACATTGTCGCGAGATTTTTTTATTTATTCAATTTACAAACGTTGAAATGCACAAGATGAACGAGTTGTTTGGTTTCTGCTCGACTAAACTATTACACTGTTTTTTCCGGACAGTTGAAAACATAGTAAAGAATTTATGGAGTAGTTTTTTCAATAATTGTGGGAAAGATACATATACCTCACTTGTTAAAAAAGCTCTGCAGTGCTCACGTTGTCGTTGGTTTGACCCGTCGCTCAAGGCTAACCAAGCCTTTCATCATCTGGGATCGTCAAATTGGTGCCAGACTTGTTTGGGAGAAAAAAACACAGGCTCGATAGTATCGGTGCAGATCAAATATGCATTCAACCACCTTAGCGATGGTTCGCATAAAATCGAATACATGACGTATCCTTGAGGCGTTAAGCAACGCCAGACGCTTTATCTACTCTCCTTTAATTACAAGAACTCGTTTATTATTTCATTTTTCAAGTTCGTTGGGAGATATCAATTATTTATCATTTGATAAGATGACTTTGTCACAGAGGAACAAAGAAATTCTGGTCAGGTGTTTTAAGATTTTTGGTATTTTATCACACATTCAAAAGTTAATACAAGCCTTGGAATTAGACCAAACCGATTGAACTTGCCCAATTCTACTTTCGAGCTTCGTCGAAAATCCAGTTTTCTGTTCAATTAGCTAACATTAATAGTTTCTGGCTCACGTATATTTTTGTCAGCTCCAAAACCAAAACTGGTTTGTGTGAATCGTAGTTAATTAGCATAGCTTTGAATTTTTATAACTGATCATCGTTACGAATTGTAGGGACGAAATTTCTTTTCTAGAAAATTGCTTTTCTCTTTTTTCCGAGCTTTTCTAGATGTTCTCTCTCATCAGTTGACTCTAGAACTTAGAACAGTGTCACTATGTTTACATCGATGTGTACCACTGAGTCAAAAAAAATATTTTGAAGGATTTTGAAAACAACAGCGGCCAAACCACTGCTGTCATGGTTTCCATCAAAAGTTGTTGTTCAAGAAATACAAAGAAAAAGAATGGGGTCGACATTCTTTAACTTATCCCAGAACAGCCTTTAAACGAAAGTTCGATGCGTTTTTCACAATATCTCCCCTACTAGAACGCTCACCAATTGATAATGTCAGCGTTCTACTTGCGCCGACAATTGAACTCTTCATGCAAGGTTGCTATAGACGACGAACAAATATTGAGTTTTGCCAGAAGAGCTATCGTTTCGTCGTTGAAGGACACTAAGCACATCACTTTGAATATCGTCACGGCTACGACGTGCGATCAAAAAAACGTGTTCTATAGGGAACTGGTGGTGGCGAGCATTCCTGGATTCAAGCCAATGCTATGGATTAAAAATTGCTACTGTTTGACTTTTTAAAGCATGATTTTCACTGCATCAGATGGGGAATACGAAGGCGGGACTTCGGCAACTATTCTAAGGCGAAAGTTCTTTCTCAAACAAGTGCATAGTACGTTACTGGAAACCCTACTGTGTGTTTATCTGATGGCAACATTACTGATAATATGATAAGAATAATAACATGAACTAATTATTTTATCTCTCTCTTTTCCAGGAAAACTCCATGAGATTAACGGATGGCCGTTGTGGGTGTCTCATCAAGCATACATAGATACACTTTTAAAAAAGCCAAGCAAAAGTTTTTACACCAACCCATTGTGGGCTCAGTCATGTGGGAAATTACATAGTCTTATTTTAAAAACCATGTGTTCGACGATTATATCAAGAAAAATTCCACAACTTTTTCATTTATATTGGTCAGTAACTGTGCTATCGCTCCCTATCCGCTTTTTTTTTCCAGCAGTTCGTTCTATAAATATTCATTCTGTGGATATAACTTTATAGCCAGAAGATTAAGGTTGACATATGTCAAATGATTTGTGGAACGACTTTTGAAGAAGGGCAATCAATATATGTTATTCTCCTATTTAAAAGGAGATTTTAAAGCAAAACAAGGCCAAGAGTGCATAAGTGGAACTTCTGTGACGAGAAGCCCCATCGAATATCACTAAGCGAAAGTCACCTGCTAGTCGAAATAACGTTCTCTGAACTGGACGCAATCCGATAAAATGGCAAAAATGATAAAGCGTTCGACAGTGATCCATTCCTAAATGGTGCGTCATGCTCTAAACTACATTCATAGCATCTTGGTGGTTAACACATATTTGGCCAGCACAATAGCTTTCAGTATCTTACCGATGTATTAATTTTCTATTCCTATCATCAGGGGCAAATCTTGCACCATTTTGCGGATCGTGGGCAAACGGAGGGCTCGATGAGCGCCGGGCCAGGGATCATGCCAGTGACTATGTGTGTATTTAAGTGCACCTCTGGGAACTGCTCTTCACTCGAATTACTCCGATAGCGCCGAGAATTTTACATTTCCATGACGATGATGATCTTTGTGTCTAGGTTATATCAAAGCCGTAGCAGCGTTGATGATCATCGCGTTAATATTCACCGCAATCGCCTTCTTCCTCAACGTTTGCGGTCTAAGCAAGTCTGATATTCGACGGAAGTACATCTTCTATAAATTCGCCACCTACTTAGCCATTCTGGCCGGTAAACACTTTACACATTTCGTCCTTTATAGTGTCCGTATTGTTACCTAAGCCAGTATAAGTCAACAGATTTCAATGACACTCGCCAGTCCATTAAAGAGACTAAAGAGTCGCTCTGTGCTCTTGTACAATCGTCGTATTGAAAAGATGAAAAGTTTTCAAGAACGAATTTTCTCTTTTTTCCTTTTCATTTTGTATTCGTTCCTGTACTATGCTTAACTAATCTTAACCTGGAAATTCGTGACGTGAAATTATCAAAAATGCCTGAATTTCTAGCATTACTTTCATTTTCGTAACACGTGTAATTAGACAAGGACTAATCAGTTTGCTGTCCCCATAGGGTTGACGCAGAGTTTTCTTGGCTTTACTCTTCGCTAGAAATTAGAAAACTCTAAATTTAAATTTGATGCTCCATAAATTTCAGTTTTGATGGAGTTAACAGCATTGATTGTGTTTCCCGCTTGTTTTTACGTGAAGATGAAGGAATATGGTTCAAGAAGGGATTGGGAGGTATTTTTGCTTACCGTATTTGTTTTTGTATGCATAGCCAATTTCTTTGCCTTACGGTAGCAGTGAAGTTGCCATAGTTGATTTCAATTTCGGTTAAAGTTCCATGTGTTTAGAAAGGTCTATATGTTTCTTATAGTGAAAATAAGCGCAAGAGGTGCTCAAAAGTGGCTTTTCTAAACAACATTAGAGCGTCTAAGAACAGTTCTGTTAGAGATTTGTGGATATTATGCGAACAGCTGAATTCATAAGCTGGAGCACCGTAACTTTAATTTTCCCAACCGCACTAATAAAACCACGTTTCTTTTTGGCTGTAACCCTAAACTATTTTTCATACATTCTCCTAAAGTTTAATTTTCCATCACTAATTCCGTTCCTGATTTGAATTTTTGTGTTATCTGTTTCTTTCACTTCACTTCCAGGTTGACTGGTCGTATGGTCTTGCATGGGGAGCCACATTGTTCACGTTCGGTGCGTCACTGTTACTGATTTGTGACAAAGAACATGAAGAAGTCTACTACAAGGAGAAGACGATTTACAATCCGCCACCAGAATTAATGAACTAAGAAAAGTCACGAGGAAGTGGTTTCTTTCAAAGCAGTTACCACCAATGTGGTCTCACAAGGCGCCATCGCTACTCTATTTCGCATGGCTTGTGTATCATTTCTGTCACGTCACCATCAACATCCCCTTTCTCTAGCCTTCTTTAAGCCTCAATGGACACGTGTCCATTCTAGTGTGATGAAGCCAAAGTGATTTTGGTTCTTCGGTGCTAAGAACGAGGGTAGACGCAGTGGTGGAACAATAGTATCTCTCACATGCTGAGAACGGCTAAGCCGCAGACTTACAGCTAAAGTTTTATTACTCAGTAAAGCTGTGTTTTTATGGTACTATGGTTTTTTTTGTCGTTTTACATTGCCATTCACCTTATAATTGCTAAATGCACATCCAGGATCACTATTTCGCTAGTCAGATCAAGGTACATTATTTAAGTAATTATTGATTACCTTCAGAATTATTCTGCTGGTTTTTCGCATGTAACTTATATAATCACCAGTACCGTTGTTGTTATTATTATTCCAGTAATTATTCAACAGAACGCAATAACTATATTGATTTTTCTTATTTTGGAATCAGGTTTCCTCTCAGATTGTTAGATTTCGGTTACAATTTGTTCATTGACGGTGACGCAACGATAGAATTCTACATAAATGATGTCATAATTTCTTTTCGGATCTAAAATAGTCAATATTTTGTCGTGAATAAAGACAACCGTTCTCATTTGTAAACACATATTAGAGTAAAATAAAGAACTATTATGCGGTTTTGTTTGAATGGGATGTCTGGACGTCGTAATGCTGTTGTCGGAAGCAAACTGGAAGTCATGAATTCTGTGGTTTGTAATCGCCAATCCTGTGAGTCGAATTAGAAATGCTTTCTGCACATAGTATTTATTATTATTATTATTATTAGTATTCCAGCAACTCTATCAACCATGATTGTACGTGTCGACTACATAGATTTTTCCGTTGGTGTCGAGCAAATGCAAACTGAGTAGCCTACGGCTAAAGTTATCCCAGATAGTACAGATTCCTATCAAATTCAATTCGATTATCAATTATCAATTCGATTTCCTATCAAATTTCACTTAAGAAAGCGAAAATAGAGGAAAAATTTGGGTAGTGGTAGTTACATAAAGGATAAAAATATAGGAAAAGGAGCCGGCGTTGACCAATTCCTCAGGGATTCGCCATACCCTCGACTTCACTAAGCGTCGTTGAAGGTGATTCCATGAGTATCCTGCCTTTTCAATGGCTCGTGTGATCCACGGACGTTTCAAGCCAGCGCTGATGTCCTCTCAGACAAGTCTGGTACCAATTTACCGACCCCGGAGGGATGGAAGGCTTGGTGATCCTAGGGCGAGGGGAACGATCCCGTGTGTATTGCAGGGCACCTCCGACCACTGTTACAACGCTGTCCTAAAGATATATATCGAAGGAAGATGATTTCTGTGCTATTTTCCGTTGATTGTATGAATGTGAGAACCTAAAAGAGCTTGAAAACTTTCATAGAGAAATTAATGGTGACAAATTTCATTAATAAAAACACATCGCATTGAAGATGGGAGATTTCAGTTTCGCCTGAATGTGGATGTTCAGGATACTACTAGTGATGACAGTTAATTGTTAGTAGTGGAGCGTTTCGGTTACCAGCCAAAGTGCGGTTGACACGAATTCGCAAGGACATTGATGAATACGGTGATCGTCGATGCTATTACTTGCTCAAATGGCGACAGTTCAAACGATGCCAGAAAAACCGTTAAACTCACGAATAGTCTTCCCACGTACCTGCTAAGCTCTAATGTATGAAGAGGTAGGCGATAAAATTCTTAAGAATGATCATTTCGTGACGGAGAATGTTACCAAGCTGACAAAAACAGATGGGTTTCGTGAGAAACGTAACTATTTACGAAGTTCAGTTTCAGAACAATTAAGTTCTTGAAATATTTCATGACACGGTGATGGTCGGCTCCTTTGACATGGAAACGAAGGAATTCGTTGTTGTAAGCACCTAGGTTCCGTCGGCCAGCACGTACGTTCCATCTTTAGTCTTTTTTCTGCTGTATAACAGATAGGAAAAGCCCTCGAACAAAGAAGTCATTCGATATGGACGAATCAGTAACCATTTCGACGATCAAAGCGCAAGGTACGCAATGAAAGAATGTTCTCTGAACAATGGCAAGGTCGATTTAAAGCGCCGCAAGTTTTAAGATTGGAAGGTGATTAAAAAATAATCTAATATTGTACAGCTTTATTGCTTAAACTGTATTTCATGCAGGATTTTTAAAGAAAATTCAAGAATATCGGTTCGTTCGACTTCAAGCAAGTAAAGGTTGATAAAGACATCATAGCCATCGACCAGCAGGGAAAGTAGAACAACAATGCTCGTTAGGCGGGTAGATTTCATGGGCCTTAGAAATCTCGTTGCCATGTTAGCAATTTTTGAAAGAGTTTAGAACTACAGTCTGTAGCAGGGATGAAACCGTTGTTTTCGACAGATGAAATCGTCATGTTGTCACAAAAATTTCCTTCATTCACCCATAAATGCAAAGGAGTATCAAGTTTTTTGCAAAGAGATCGTAGCCGAATAGCTGTCACACTGTCACTGACACCGCCCCTTGCCGGCCCTCGGAACTCCTCACGGCACGACGGTACTCGTCGCGTAACCGGCCATCCGCTTACGGCCAGACATCACCGCCTCCTCCATCGACATCACCTCCATCAACATTGTACAGCCGTGGCGAACAAGCTCTGTGTCGAATTCAATAGCCCGAGATGCCATCTGACGTCATTGGTTCACTCATCATTCTTAGCTTATTGTTGTTGGTCAGGCAGAGTGCCGTTACAGCACAACACGGTGTCACTTACAAAGAGCCGGAGCTGGTAAGTAGCTCATATTAAAAGTTGCTATATTATGAAAAAAATTAGCAGTACGCCTTCAGTTTTTCTATGTAGCGGCAGTTTTCCCGCACAACGTGGATGCCGTCGCAAATTGCGCCATCAATGGGGAAATTACGAGCCATTTAGAATACATTGGCACGTTCCCATACATTTACTTTTCAGGAATAAGAAATTTTTGTTTAGCTTTGCTTTCTTTCTTTCTCTTCATATTTCCCTAATCATAAAATTTTCTTCAAAGTTACGCGAAGCTGTTGAAAACACCAACAAGTTAGTATTGCGTAGACTAATGATTTCAGTAGTCACCCACTTAGGTTTCCATTGGTTTTTCATCTTCTCATGGATTTTGTAAACCATCAAATCCCACTTTTTGAAGGATAGTCAACAGATCTTCATTATTTTCGAAGCTGTTTGCTTTTTTCCTTATCTCCTACTATTTCTCTAACTTGTTTCCAATATTCTCTTTTATGTTTTCTTTCAGGAATATTTTAAACGTTAATTTTGTATCGGGTGCTAAGTTTAAGGGAAAACACAAACACGAAATTAAATTGGCCTAAAATGTTTAAACCGACCATCATTTAACCTCAGTGGTTAAATAATCAACATGTTTTTAAATTGTAGAGCTTACACGAAGTTGCTGAAGACTCCAAGTGTAGCTGGATTATAAGTACCCTAAATATCTTCGATAAAAAGGAAGATGCGATAACAAAAATTTGGCAGGTGAAATTTTAAAAGGGGAGAATACAGTATGGAAATTAGTAGAAAGTAGAACCATGGCAAAAGTTTACTGTAACTATTACGTAGTTACGTACACCACTGCATTTCGTTTGTAGCACGGGAAGTAATTGAAAGGCAGACCCTCGATGGATGGCTTACAACGTTTTCATGAACCTTAGAAAATTTCAAAGGCGTAAAAATAAAAAAGGCTACGAATATTATCGCTAGTTCGCAGGATCAACTTTCTATAAACGTCGGCATTGGATTATAAATGAGTCCTTTTCCTTCTCAGCAATCGCTAGGTTGCTATACAGCATACGTTTGCTTTCGTACAAAAACGCATACAATACAACAGTCTGACCTTTCGGCAGTATCGCCCTCTTTAGAGCCTGGAAGGGTATACTGATGTACATTTGGCTGCGCCAAACGCTTCAAAAACACCTAAATGAAGGTGAAAATCTATTTGATAATCGCATGATCACCAGGTTCTCCAGAAACACACCGCTTTCTATGTTTCTTCCACTGAGGAAGAACAGTTGATTAGAGTCACATATGGTCGATGCACCACCCCACTTAAAAATTTATGCGGGGGTACGCAGCAAGATCACGCATATATATGGGATCCTACGCATGGGATACAAAAGCACAATGGCGACGGTTTTGGTATAAAAGTCACTATTCTCGCTCAGGATACCAAAGCACCGACGCGCAAACTTCTTGAGAATTCTGGATAAATGCTGGAAATCCTGCAATTAATAGCAGGTGGAAATGCATAGACAATCACACGTGATCTCGCCCCTACCTTCGCATCGATCGTTGATGTGGGTGGTGCACTCGGCGACCATACACGACTCTGATCAGCAGTTCATCCTCACCGGAAGACACGCAAAAACGGTGGGCTTCTCGAGAATCTGTTGGTCATGTGATTACCATATAGATTTTTGTCTTTCTGTATGTGTTATTGAAGCGTTCAGTGCAGTAAGTTGCGTATTAGTGTACACTTCCAGACTCTGAAGAAGGCGGTACTGCCGACTCGTCAGCTACTGTTGCATTGTATGTTTTTTGCACAGGAGTAAAGGTATGCTGTACAACAACCTCGCGATTGGTGAGAAAGGACACGACGCAGTTATTATTAGTAACTGGTGAGAAAGAGTAAACCCAAGGATTCGTGAAAAAATTCGTAATGCCTGGCTTCAAAAGAAAAACGTCACGACTTTGATTAAAAGTGGAAAAGTGGAAATTTAGAAAAAGAACAAAGAACAAAGAATGAAGTCGTTGTTAGAGATCCGGCATTGAGAACCAGCTTACGATTTTCGTTTAAGACGCGTCCTTTCATTTCGTTCAGATAATCCGTTTTCAATTCTAAGCAAAAGTACGGAGCTAATCCGTATTGCAGAGGTGCGTCCACATTGTAAATCCATCCGGACCTGCTCGAACAAATTTTTTCCTTTAGCGTTAAATACATTGAAAACTAATTCGAGATTATCGAAGGGCTTTTTTCGCTGAACATTTGCCACGCAAATGAAGATTCTAGTTGAGCTTCCCATCGTGTTTTCTTAACTCATATTCTGCAAGGTTTCCAATTTTTTAATATTATTATTATTAAGCGGTGGTTACATGCTCTCTTACGCTGGCATTTCGATGGCAAAAACAACTGAGACAGAATGAGTGGTCCAATTTACGACTTCACCTGAACTGAAAACTTTAGAAAATGTTTGAGTTTTTTGTTTCTAATCGTTTTTAGGAATGCCTTGACGATGGTATTCGGCTTCACATTTATCCTGTTGGAGTATTTGTTGGACACGTTTATGTGATGGGACATTTTGCTGGAGAGTACGTCCACTCAAAGTTTTATTTCTACTTTTGCGGGCACGTGTAGCGCAGACGTTGACTGTAAAACAGCAGTCTCTCGTTCGATGCCATGCTCCTGCCTCACTACGCCTGCGAGCCCTCCAGGGTTGGCAAGTTGGTACATACCACACGAGTCATTGTTTAGACCAGATATGTATTCATTCACCTCCGACAACACCTAATGAAATCCAATGCGCGGCGCATCCCATTATGCACTGATCAAAGCCGGAACATTTACTCTTTTCTAGCTTTGACTATTCCAATGCTACTGTTGATTAGCATAAACAAGTTTAAAAAAGTTTTTGGTTGAATTACTTAGCACATTGATCGGCCGAAATATTCAAAGAGTGCTTCGAAACTTCCGTTACCTTTTTTTAATTTACAGAAGAAAGGAATGAATGTTCAGCTTGTTTGCGATACCTTAGCTATGTGCCATCCATTCGACTCCACTTATTGCGTTACAGAGGTTGTTAAATGTGCAGTTTCTACGACTTCAGGAAGCCTATATTTATGTTAAGTCAACTTCTTCATTATCCTTGAGAACTCTGGTACCATTTTGCCAATTCTGGAGGGATTGGTGGCTTGAGTAGCTCGCTCGCCGCACTGAATCGAACTATCGGCCACATGTTGTTACTGTGGCACTCTTAATCACTACGCTACACGCATTTGTTTTAATTAGGAATACTGATCTGCCGTTCGTACAACGCTGAATCACTAGATAACTATTCATTTACCTAAAACTATTTGTGTTCAATTTTGAATGCTGCTCAATTTTTCACTATTCGATTTTTTTCCGTGATCGTTTTTCAGTAGATTTTTGAAATCGGAACTTTTGTCGTCATCTCTATTGTGATTGAAGCAGAAAAAATCCTTATCCTATAATGAAACCCGCTCAGTGTCTTCATATTTCTAAGGAGATTCTAAATGAACTCGATTTTTCAAAGTTTCTACTTTTAGATAGTTTCTCTTCCCTTGCACTGTGCAGGTGGGGACATGAATGTCCAGGGTGCTTTCCATATTTCTTTGGATAGGCTAGAATTTTTTTTCGGATTTCCACTACGCGACCAGTGTTGTCGCTTTTCAACATTATCACCATAGATAGTTCGCGGTCCTTTTTCTGGCTGAAAGGAAAGTCTTTTTTTGCAATTTTTGTGAATGTGTTTTTTCCGAAATAGATGTGCCTTCTGAATTGGTTTACTCATAGCTATCATATTTGGATGGAAATTCTGATGTCCTTGCCAAATTCGCTGTCGCGCTGATGACAAGCTCTCTACCGCACGGCTGAGTTTGACATCTTATATAGCAACTAACAATTATGGGGAACTAAAGCATTGGTGGAAATAATCACAATGTTTTAACTTTTATTTGCTGTTTATCCTTTTTCCATGGCAGGATATTATGTGAATATAACTACAAAGATGCTGAGATATGAGACAAAGCAGTAGCATCGGTTGGTGCGGTGGACAATACGTGAGTCTCCGGAAGGGGTAATCGTTGGTTCAAAGCGGAACCGAGACTGCGAGTTTTGTTCACATCACAGCCATAGCGGAAATGGTTAAAGTTTAGAAAAATTTCATGTCTACTAGAAATCATTATATCTTATGTCATTTTTATTCGACACATTTTCAATCTATTTTCTCTCTTTTCTTAGAATGCGAATTGCAGTTTATCTGTGGAATTTCATAAGGAGTTTGATATGTGCATTAATAGGAAAAATACGCGTCTAGTGATGAACCTTTGAGTATAATTTCTTGTTGCTCCTTTTTTCAGCTGTTGTCAGATAAAGCTTTCAACTTCTACTCCTTTCTTCTGCTTATTCTTTCAAGAAAAATAAAAGCTTGTAATGGGTAATGAGAAGTTCAAGAGTGTTCCAAATTGAGTCGAGCCTCTAATTTGTGTTCATAGCTTTTCACAGGGATAAAACGTTTGGCGTTGATCAGTACAACTTAGGGAGCAACTATGTTTTCAACACATTTCCAATGTTGTAAAATTGATTGGATTCATGCTTGGTCTATACAGTGTTTTCAGCGGCTTACCGATTTATCAAAGCTGTGCTATCTAACGTTCCAGCAAAGTATGGCACCAGTTTCTAGACCCTGGAACGGTGGGGACTTGTTAGTGTTCGGTACAGGATCGAACAAATGATCATACATAAACACCAACCCAAAACCGAGTAGGGCACCTCTAATCCCTTCACTACACACGCCCGTCAAGAAGCAAATTCTAACATTGTTCAATGTTCATGATTCTCTTTCATGGGAGCGGTCGTAAGGCTACCTAAAGCATCCCGCAGATGGCAGTTAAAGAACTGTGTGTGGACCAGTAACAGTTATTCCCTTACCGCCACGTCTTTGAATTCATAGGAAGGACAGCCCACTTGACGTGTCAGAATGAGTTCTATCTAACATCTTAATGTCAGGAATGTAGATATTTCATTGGGAAGACTCTAAAACCGTCTCAGTACGATAGCAGTTCTGTACCGTAATATTTTCGCTGAAAAAAAATGGATGGAAAATGGGTTTTTGGAAGGAAATCTAGCCTGAAATTTGGAGAACATCGTGGGAATGTCTTAAGAAAAAGTTTAACCATCAAAATTTTTGAAATGTAAATTTGAGCACGTGTGGGGCAGTGGTCGGAGGCGCCCTGCAACACACACGTAGATTCGAACTCGCGCCTATGGCCCACCAAGCCTTCCATCCCTCTGGGGTCGGCAAATTGGTACTAGACTTGCCTTGGAGGACAGCAGCATTGGGTCGATACATCGGTGGGCCACCTCGAGTCATTGTAAAGGTCAAATATGCATTCAATCATCTCCAAAGATAATGAAGTCGAATGCATGACGCATCCTTCAGGGATTGATCTACGCCGAGAGCTTCATCCTTTATTTTTAGCTCTAAGCAAGTGGAATTTAAAAGGATACTTTGCACAGTCTCTAATGTTGATATGTTTTCTTCTACTAGTATTTTAATGCTTGGTAGTGAACTAGTTTCTATATGTATTTATACCTAATGAGCTGACCGTCTGCTAAATATTAGAAAGTTTAGTGTATATGGTATAAAAATAGTTTCCCTACAAAAACAGAAGGTTTTTTTTTAGAATATTGGTTGTTTTATTGTCCATGGGCGATTCCTATGAAGTTGTGCAGTTATTCTTCTAGATGGCGACGTGTAAAACAGCATAGTGGCTCCTACACAATTAGATGTGCCTCATTTCACTTGAAGACGATGGAACTTAAAGTAGCTAAAGGCGCTCAAGTTTTTCGTTTTGTTCTTGTACCGGCAATAATGCACCGTTTATGAGATAGAGAATGTATGGAACCGATCATTGCTCGAAAAGAAGTGTCAATTTAGAGTAAAGATGGAGGAAAGAAACAGGTATGAAGGAGTGAAGACAAAGGAAAAGACCGCTAGGCAGTGACCACCTTCGGAAGCAACTTTTAACGCTTGCAGGAGCTTAACTAGTAATGCTTACTGCTTAGTCGATATACATAGACAATTGTGCAGAAAGTAGAAATGTTTAAAAAAATATTAGTCATAGTAAAATTAGTTAGTTTCTACTCGTCTTTGCAATTGATTGAAGTTTGCATTCATCAACAAGGCGATAATGAAAAAAATTTCCCCAACATCGACTTGATACAATTTTTCTTTTTCTTTCTTTTTTCTTTTTTTTTTTCTTTCTTTATTTTTTCCCAAAAGATTTCCTTTTTACTTCTCTGATGAATTAAATCGTTCTTAGCCTAATGTGATAGATTCTATGGGTTTTTTTCATGGTTTCCAAATAACGTACACTATTTGTAACGCTTCGTCTTGTCCAAATTCTCAGGATTTCAGCAAATGTCATTTGGATTACTGTAGCCACTCGATCCGGCAACCGTTCTTTATCGATGTGCCGTATCGTGCTGGATGCAATGTAAGACGTCATCGCTCGGTAAGTGATTCCCTTCCTTTTTAATACCGAAATTTGAACTTCAACTTCACCATCGTGGCTAACGTAAAGGATGGGAGCAGTCATTTGATACTTGAATGGCTCGTCTTCATCAATAAGAACGGTTATTTCTAGACTCAAGGGAAAGAAGATCTTACCCAATCAGTAAATTACCAGCAGTGATGAAATCGTCACAGAGACCAGATAGACTGTACCCGAACTCATGCAATCACCGTCCCTACCATTTGGGCAGATTATGCAATGTTTTGTTGTACATAGACGGTCGTATAGGCGGTCGCGAACTAACTGGCGTCTTAGAGTGTCCGGTAGTATTTCTATCACTCTTACGGAATTCTCTAGACCGACCCTTATTAAGCAGTCTATCTGATCTCTTGTAAAGCGTGCGGGGACGAATACGTTGGCGAAACGGGTAGACTGCTCTGCGTCCGCATAAAAGCACACCTAGTCGGTAAATCTAAATTAAAAACAAACACTCCAGTAGGCGCGCATAGGATGCAGGAACACAATGGAGAAGATTTTGAACTGGTAGTCACTATCTTCACGCAGGAATAGAAAACATTAGCGTGTAAAACTCTTGAAGCCTTTTGAATCAATTCCAATAATTCAAAGGTGAACCGCAAGGAGGAGTGTCTTCTCGTCACTAGTGACCTGGCGCCATACCTCAGGCTAATCCACCTGACACAGACACAGTTACCGCCCATGTATTACGCTGATATCCATCAACCAACTTAAATACTTACAGCAAATAAGCTGTAGGTGTTTAAATGAAGCTGTTTCTTTTGAGAATACAAATTTATTTGTTAAGTTTTATCTGCCAGGGTTATGAAAGTGTTTGGCTGGGTAGATCGCATCTCAATTTGACCTTTCCAGGCTCTGAAAAAGGCGAAACCGCTGAAACGTCAGCTATTGTATCCTAACAAATCCTATAATAACAACCTCGTGTCTGCTTCTTGAAGAAAAACATCGAATTATCAATCAATACCGAGGTTAAAAGAATGTCAGTCGTGGGAATTGCTACGTTAACTGGGTTCGTTGGCGATTTGGGCTCCCAGATCAGTTTCGCTGACCGGTGATTGCTGATGG